AATCTTACCTGCATTCTGTCTGTCATTGGCTTTTTCTCACACAAATTTTGACTACAGCATAGTCATTTACGGCTGCTGCTATATCCGAGGTGCAGTTTTTGATATTGCATTCTGGGATAGCTTGATGAGAAGGGCACTATATACATACATGCATGTCATTTAATTTTAGCTGAACTGAATTATCCTAAATGCAGACATATTCTTGTGGTTTTTAAACTGCATAAAACCAAACCCCGCACCTTCCATATAAGGAGGGTAACAAGCCATGTCTGAAACACCCGCTGGAAGAATGACACAAAAATGACCGAAGCCTTGTGCCACACATTTAAGCCAGAGCAACGGCTAATTGATACCTATGGCTGGGGTATACTATAAGATAAAAGTATTTTTGGACCCTCAGCCTTTTCATTTCTAACATACACTGATTCAGACAATAATGCCTAGAAAATAATAAGCCTGTTGAATTGGACGAAATATACAAAATAATAACACATAAATAACATTTGCATAACATGTATAGAAACACACAAATTTATGAAGAGATACAGTACATGCATTATGAGAAAAACCTGTTGAGTGATCTTAAATTGCAAAACATGGGTGAGATTCTAAACAATATTTTATGGAAGGATATTAGGTGTGCAATATACCATAAGGACTCCAGCATGCATTAAATTGTTATATAACTGCAACAATTTAGCTAATTACAGTTCATGTTCCTTTGCATAAAAAATATCTTGTATCGATACTTTCAAAATCTGATTCAGTTTATAGTTCTCGCTGGAGTCATGATTAAATACAGCGGACACAATTTAAACACTCTCTTGTACTGATTACAAAAATAAGACATACCAGAGGGATTAATCTATTACATGGTAGCTGTCAAACTGTTAAACTCGTTCTTAACAAATATCATTAATCATTTATAATATAAATATTTTGTGTCATCTGCTAATGAACTTCAAAGTCTCAGGAGGGAGTGCGGTCCGGAAGGGTAAATTAATTCATTCTTATGAACAAATGATTATAGAAAAATACTGGATATTATTGTTGTAGTCCCAATGCCTGTTTTCAGTCCAGCATGGGGGAGGGGGGAGCAGGGGAACACTGGATGCAGTGCTGGGCCAGCGCGGGGCACACTCCTCCCGCAGTCACTCTAAGATTACTCTGCATTGTACGATTCCAACAGCATTCAGCATTATTAAAGCATGTTATCATTTCCAATTACTTAACTTCGGATGTAGAGCAGCAAGAATGCTCCCATCTGGTGTTTTGTGGCAGACATCCCATTCCAGTTCATTGAAGTCAGTTTACACTGCTTCCGGCTTTCAGCGATGGTGACTTTCCGCTCCAATCTACCGTCTCTGATCTAGTGGGCTGCTTTCAAGATAGCAGGCGCGCAATCGGGAGGCTGCAGCGTATACATTTTAACATTCATCTGGCGATCAATATGATCAAGTGTTTTTCAGTGAGCTTCAAAATTTGTCACCTGTCTTTCTCAGTTTACCACGTCTCCACTCTCTCCCCACAGCACACATTCCCCCAAGTCTCCGAATCTCTTTTGCAGCTCACTGAGCTGAATGAAATATCTTTCCAACTTAATGATTTTTTTTTCCATGTGGGAATGTTGCCATGGAAACAGCGATTTCCCTCACCCCTCCTCCCCTCTGCAATGGGAGCTGTCCACTTGGCAGTGGTGCTAAAATTTGCTAATTGCCATGTTTGTACATCACTTGTTCATGTTTTTTTTGTTGTTTATGAATTTTTTTGTTAATGCATTATGTTAAACAGCATGTCAGCTTTTACACTGGATAATTCTTTCAGAAAGCATCTGTGCATCAGAGCAAATTTCCCTGTTGTCAGAATAAATGTATACTAATACTCAGCCTGTGTTTCCCCATTAGTAACTGATATTAAGTTAGCAATAATGCATTATAGCATATGCTAAATGTTTATATGAGAGGAGATATGTGAGGCGCGGAGAATGACTGAGAATTAAGTCAAGAACAGAATTTAAATGAGTAATGTAAAAACAGACATTCAACAGAAATTTCACCCATGCATCATAGAGCTGAGATGAAAATAAAGATACTTTGAGTTATGGGCTGTGTGTTTGCCCCATGGTATTTGTATTTACATCAAGGCAGCAGCCCTCATGTTGTCATTGGCTAATTTATGCATCATCAGCCAATGGGTGACAAGGGTTGTACTCCAACCAAAGGGCCAATTAAAGGTGCAGAAGGACAATCACCTTGGTGCCCCCACCATCCCACGGTAGGTCACCATGTGTCCAGAACATTTGTGATGAAAGACGGACAGCACTCTGAAAGCCCCAGAGTGAGAAAGTGAGAATATGAGAGATCAAACAAGTGTAACAGAAATGACAGTCAAGAGACTGAGACAGCTGTTTCAGAGAGTTAAGCAAAAAAAAAAAGAAAAAAACATAAAGAACACCTCAAGGGGGTAGAGAAGAAAATAAAGAGAACACAGTAGAGACAATGAATATTATGGGATGGGCCATAGGGGAGTCACTAATTTATAATGAAAAATGTGTAGCAAATGCAATAACAGTTCCTTACGTTAAAGCATTATAGTATTATAATACATTATAGCAATAAACACGGACATAAAAGGTCTTCTGCAAATGGAATAGGCTTCATAATAATGAATTTGTGACACATTAAGGCCTAATCACACACCCTAGAACCCAGAAAGGTAGCTGCAGAAAAACACGAGAAAATAACTAATATATGGAATATATATCGAAGCATGTTGTAAATACAACACGTGTCATTATGTGTGAACAAGGGTGTTATGCTTTAGCATGACAGACTATTAAGAGCCACAGTATTAAGAGCAATCCCATTTGTTTTATTTCAACTATCACAGTCTCATTTTCACGAACATCAGAGTCATTCCTATTGTTCTGCCTGAAATAATTATTCTCTATATAAAGAATCTTTTCTTTATTACTTAAAATTCTTTTTCACATCATCCAACAAAATTAAAAGCGCAACATTAAAAAAACAGAAATGTCATTTTCAGATAGACAGTACAGTATTAACAATGTTATCTTCATGATTTCTCATAATCACAATTAGTGTTCCATTACCATTGTTAGTAATATTAGTATTATGTTTGTTGTCTACGTTTTGCATCAGTTATTTAAACTAAATCAAGTTGACATCATTCATGCTAGTATAGCATGCAAACAATTTTTTTCACATTTTAAGTCATTCTGAACAGCACTGACACAGAACTGGGAAACACAAGAAATCAGTGTCCATATCACATGGAAGGAGGGGGATTGACGAGGCGGGTGAGATTGATCACGCAACAAGAAAAAACACCGGGGGTAAGAACACGGCAAAAACGCAGAGGCACATGAGGTAGAGAGAGGCCTGAAGACAGAGAGGAGCACACACAGAGCTACACAAGAAGTCTAAGGTCACGAAATATCAACGAGAACAGACATACGACTGCAGGTCGTTCAAGTGTCGGGGAGACAGCATGGAGAAAATGGGATGTACAAAAGTCCTGCGATTTTATATAAAAATATATACACGTCCAACCTCAAAGATGAAGCCCAGCTCTGAAATCACTATTATTAAACTAATTCATTTGATATTGGGTGAAAAATGATAGGACACGTGGAATTACGAGAAGGCGAATCGTGGGACATAGTGCATAAGCTAAATGCTTTTGTGAATCTTTACCTGAGCAATTTCTCACATTATTTTATCAATACATGAGATTCGACTGCAAGCTTATTCCATTACTTGAAGGCTCAGACCAACTCCGTATGGCTGGTCAGTGTGTCCTGTCAAGTTAACTCATACTACCATTACCCTTATTCAACCATGTCTGAAAGTTGTCAAATTACCAATATAAAGTAACTATAGCAACAGCAGCTCTAAGGTCAAGAAGATGATGGCAATATAGTATCAAACAGATTTAAGGATAGTTTTATAGATTTGTTAGACTGTCAATTGAGGCTGGAATAGTAGCGATAACTTGTAAAAATGCATCATTATCATAACACTTAGTATGCATGAATGGTAGCTGCCTTAGTTAAAATAAAATTCAAAAAAAAGAACAAAACAAATTCCCATAGCAATTTGAAAAAATAAAAGAGAACTTAATGAAGATGATGATAATAATTACAAAATCAGCGCTATGTCGACATAATCCCTCTTAATGTCATAACCTCTGCCATGTAGCGTCTATCCTTAGCTATTATTTATTCACAGGCATTTCACTTTTTGGGGGGATGGGGGGTGATAGTACACCAGTTGCCTTAGAAGACATTAATAATCATTAAAAGTTTATCAATTAATGTGCGTCAAAGACAATCTGGATGTATGTATAACTGCTGTCATACATGTATCTTAAGTAATTTTAACACAAAATACAAATGTAAAAAGGGGTGGGGGCAGTTTGAGGGGTAACAGGACACCCGAAGTAAACGTGTTACACACAAATTCCTCTTCTCTGAGACACAGGGAAGGAACATGACAGTTCCCTTGCAGGAATTTGTCAATGATGGGCAGGGGCTGTCACGAAGGACACTAGTGTTGCGCATGAAGTTGGAACTGCATGCGGAAATAGCATGAGGAAACACACTCAGCAAACTGGGGGCACCCACGCAAACTCAAGCTAACAGTAAAAAAATTATAAAAAAAAAAACAAGATTGCACAAAACATCAGTGCTGTTCATTGTGTGGGGAGTATAGACTCGCTCCCCCGAAGGAAAATCAGTCAGGCGATAACAAGGAATGGTACCAAAATAAATTACATGATCGAAACCCTTCTTAGAAGGACATTTTTTTCCCCCAGGTACAGTAAATGCACAGAAATACAAGCGTGTCCCTCTCAGGCGATGAGGTCAGATTCGTCCTTGCACCAAACCCACAGAAACACTCCCATTTGTCAGCTGTAAACTGGTAACATGCTTCAGGGTGACAAAGTTCACATTATGGCTATACGGAAGTAATGGAAGAAAACTCTAGACATTCTTAATCAAAGAAAATGCCCTCAACATTCTCTAGAGACGAACATTCATGAAGGAATATAGCCAATGAGCACTTTGAAATAAATATTTTTAATTTTGATCCCACTTTCTAAAAAAAAAATTCAGAATGCTTCTTACAAATCAGGGAAGACTCTTACAACTAATAAATATGAAATGCATACATTTTGCAATATCTGTTAATGTCAGTCTTCTAAGTCTTTGAAACTGTTTGGGTTTTGGAGTTATTAAATGTTTCTGAAAATAACTTTCAGATTTCAATATTTGATTTTATTTTTTGAGAAAGTGCATATCCGAAGTGCTGATATGCAGTCGTTTATATATACTGTCCATAACACATAGGTTTATTTTCAATCCCATCACACAGGTGTGTTTAGATGCGTGTCCATCTGCTTTGCGCTGTGTTCTCTATGGTGTGTCAGGATTAAAGTACAGCTTACTTTTGGTGTCTGCACAACATTTTCACAACATTTCGTCACTTTTTCAAGTTACAATGAGTGATGCGCAATTACGTACACTGCTCCTTTAAGCTATTTCTAGACAATTGATCAGAGTTACTATTGTTAGTTGTAGAACTGCTATATAAGCTTGTCTTCTCTCAGTTTCCTTCAGAAAATGTTGCAAAAAGATTACAGATGAAGAGAAAGGTCTGGAACTGGAAGGATAATGGCACCGAGGACACCTAGAAGAGGAAGAGATGGAGAGGGGTGAGGCGGAGGAAGCTGGAGCTCCAGGAACTCATTGATGTCATTGATCCACAATTAAGTAAATCAGGCTTACAACTGGAACCAAATGTGTTGTGTCCAGTCCCCTGAAATTTGTATTTACTGGAGTTCATTGATGTAAATTGAGCTAATAATGAGGGTGACCTGATAGGAAGTGACATTCCTGGTTGGACTAGACTCTGTTGCGTAACATTATATAGCAGGTAATTCCACCACCTGTTCAGGTAACCCTAACAGATACAGGTTGCCGTCGATTTATGACCTTTACAACTTACGAGTGATTGACTTTACGACCAATCCGAGACTGCAAAAATATGGTCACGACTGTGCCGGGAATGGCAGTGTGACTGATGCCCAGTGTGAGTATACGACAGTTTCTGATCCAACTGCTGGCAGCAATGAACTAAGAAAATTGTGATATAAAGGTTAAAAAACACCAAACAATATGACTTAAAGATGACAGAATTTTATTATGCAGTATACTACACATATTATAATTTTTGCCTATAAAATAAAGGGCCGGCTTAGGACCAAATAAACTTATGACCAGTCAGTCGGAACAGCGGTCGTGAATCGACGACGACCTGTACTCAGGTATGATTAGCAATTGTGTCGATAGCTCTATCATCTGTTGCCAAATGAACATTTATAACAAGCAAAAAATTACTTTCCCATTCCTAAGGCAATGAAAACTTTCAATAAGTCTTAGTAGCGTCATAACCTTATAATCTTTGTTTTTTAAGCCATCTTCTAAAGAAAAGCTCAAAACCACAATATGTACATTAAGAAGTATCTCATAGTTAAAGCTAGTGAAAGGCATCAATTGCTGATGTTAAAGCTAATATGGCCACAAACAAATATGTAGATCTCTTGATATAATGTTACAATTAGGAGGGTTATGATGTCTGTTTAGTGCAACAGTGCACAGTAATCAGTCTTACAATATTTGTGTCTATCCCTTTGTGGTAAGCAGAAAAGTAACAAACCCTCTATGGTATGCAGAAATGGGACAGTCACAGACAAAGCTCAGCAGCAATCCACATACATTTATTTCTGTTCCCTGGGAAATTAAAAAATATCCATCTGAATTAAAAATGTTCATGGGAAGCATGGCCTTCTGAGTTTTTAAATAATCTATGTTCATGCTCACTGGTATTCATGACCATCTGGAGAATGAAGTGATCAGGAAGAACAGCACTTGGGAACACAAATTAAAAAAAATAAATCACCAGTGAAAATGAAACCTTTGGAGTAATTTTTCTGGAAATAAACTATTTGGATCACACACACTCATTATCGATATATATCCCGAACTTTTACATAAAACGAGTATGATTAAAACGCTAAGACCGAATAATGCATATCACCTCTGGAACTGAGGTGCCATTTAATATACAGCGCTTGGTAACACAGCTGTACTGTTTCTATTCCCTTAATGAAATTCTCACCTTTTGTGTTACTATGGTGACTACCAAAGCTTCAGGACATCTGTATCGGAACAATGGAGCTAGCTTTGTTCACTAATGCTCACTAATAACTTAACAGTAGACTAAATTTGCTACCGTTTCACTAAACTCAAAGGATGTATACAGTAATGTGCGTGTGTTTTTTCTGACAGCAATTAATGAAAGTCTTGCAGTGATATATATTTTGTTGACTTAATTCCAATCTTTTTTTAGCTGCTAATAAATAGGAAAGCTGTGTAAACGCAATATAATCTCCATAAAGCCATCGCTGTATCGCTTCAGATGGGAGGAGAGCCACACTGAGAACAGCGCAACAGTAACAGAAGATGTACAACCAACACAACCACCACAAATTCTTCACTTTACCTTTCTATGAAGGAGGCATGGTTATAGGTCTGAACACAAGAAAACAGTGACTCTGGAGACGACTGTCTCTGTTATTTATGTTATTTGTTCTGGGTGACAAGAAAGACAAATATAACATCACAGCCATTAAAAGGTTGCATGGTCACATATCACACCATGTAGTCAGACACAGTACCGAGTCTCCCATAAATCAGGCCTTCTTTGTATCATTCTCAGTACACAACATACATCCAGCCCTGTCTGGCGCAGTACTCCTAATCGTTGCTGTTTAACATGAGCACATGGCCAAGAGAAAGGGGGGCTCACAGCTCTACTCGGAATGAGGGCTGTCCACAACGATGTGCGGCTTGGATGAACTCCCACCAGTCTTCGGCACGAAGGTGCTCATCGACTTCTCCTGTTCATAGAGAGAGGCGAGCATGCAGCTGGGGTTACAGGGTCTCAATGGACCGAGACAAAGAAGAAAAAGAAAAACAAGTAAAACATATTGATAGGGAAGGTGACCTACAGGTATTAAACTAACTTTGATAAATATAATTAAACATTAAATATAAACATACTTGCAAAAAGAAAACAGAATTGGGTACTTGTACTGGACTATGTGTACAACAGTGTTTCTCAATGAGGACCCCCAGACAGTCCATGTTTTTGCTCCCTCCCAGCTCTTGGTAGGAAGCAAAACTGAACTGCCTGGGGATCCCAGAAGCCCGGGATGAGAAACACTGCTGTACAACAAAAGGGGCCAAAATGGGGAAAAAAAACAGAAGCATATTATTATTGCTCTAGTGTATGTCTTCATTATGTTTATATTATATTCCATTCTATAATCTTAATTTTTATATCAATCAACAATTATGCAACAGTAACTGATTTAAAACTATGTGTAGTTACGGTGAACTACAGGCCAATGTGGACATAAGTTGTGTACCTCCACCAGTTGGTGCCAGTGCTCAATGGGCTTCCTGGGGTTGGCCAACATGGCCGCCCAGTGGTCCCTGCCAGGTCCCTCGGCGTCACTCCCGACCCGACACATGCCGATAACCTCATTGTGACCGATGCTGGCGCAGACGAAGAAGGAGAGATGCGAGACATTTAAAAAAAAGAGCAGGGATATACCTCAGAACTCAGCAACAGGCAGAATTCAACATGTAGTGCGATGCAAATAGTAGTCTATGTGCTTAGCACTCTGTGCTCACCTAATTCCCCTCTTCCAGGCACTAGTGTCATTGTAACCACAGAGTGGGCTATTTTTAGATGGCATGAAATGAAAGTTACCCTTGGTGTAATGATCATGCTGAACCCTGTACAACACATTTCATGGCTAAGTTGCGGAAACCTTACAAATGAATATTTGCACTGCTTTGAAGGGAACCCTGTTCCCCAATTATCTGCAGAAAGATATTAGACAGGGAACATTAACTATGCTCGTCAGTGGTTTTTATTATGGATACTTTGCTAGTACGCAATCAGGTTTAGGTGTATTTACACCACATGCTATCCCCCTTTTTTATTTAGGAATAGTAGGCTTTTTAAATGAAACCACAAAGGGTTACAACAGTCACACCAGAACATGTCACTTGCTATTAATTACAATAAACAATAGAAATTCATAATATATAACATAAGTCAAGTTAATATGCATATATTGTTTATAAAATCTAATCTGGAGGATTTTCTTTGGTTGAGTTACTTTCTTATTGCTAGAAAGGATAGGTGCACTTGATTTGCTCATTAGGGCTTGCTACATGTTGGGCTCAAAATGTAACACATTAAACCGGTGGTTTTCCAAAAGATGTTTCATAGTTGCCCACTGCTTGGTAATTACTTCCATTTTCTTTCACAGTGGATTCTCAGCATAAATCAGTTTGAGCTGATTTCTTCGAGCACCGTGTATGGCTTCGCTTAGGTTGATCATTCCCTTAATGTATATTTAAGCAGTCATTATGAGAATTGCATTAAGGAGTCAGAGGGGAGTGGGATCATTTAGAACAGGAAGTATCTCATATTTCTTATTTTTACGCTTCGGTCTGTCTACTGCACACTAATAGTCCTTTTGTGGGTTGTAGTACTGTATTTGTCTGGTTACAGGGGGATTTTTTATGATGCTACAAACCCTTTAGCCATTTACCATCAGCATTAACATCTTCAGGTTTATTCATACTTGCACAGTTATAAGCCCTTCAAAGATTCCTTCTTCTCTGTGACATTGGACGCGATCTTGTATTGCTAAATACATTCTTTGATCCGGCTATAAATTGGACAGCTATTTCCCAGAAACGTTACCCAGTATAATTACGCAGCATGGTATCACTCTCTGAATTAAACAGTCAAGTCCCCAGGCAAAGCGAAACACTCAATCACCTGTTTTAACTTGGGCCATCATGGCATAATCTACTAATAGAGGCCCATAATGCAGTGGTGCAAATATATAAAATTAAGAAAAATGTGTCGTGTTACACTGAAAAAGCACAATTTTTATATTAATTTTAGTTGAACTGGAACAGTTAAATAATAATCAGGGCTATAAAATATCTTTTTATTAAATTTAATGAATTAAATTGCAGCTAATTGTTTTATTAAAAGGTACAAAAGAGGGATCCCATTAGAGGAAACTGATTCATCACAGCATATAATTCAGTGATACAAATTGTAATACTACATAAACAATTTCAGTGGATTCTCTAGTGATCCAGTAAAGCACACAACTTTGTCTTAACCGCTCTTGGGGGTGCACATCTTTCAATCACTTATTCAGTTATTCCATACTGGAAAACAGATACAATTAACGATTCCAAGGAATAAGTTCCAAGTATTTTTTTAATTCAAATATTTTTTTTAATGTTTTACTAGGTTTTATTTTCATTTTGGCCCTAGAGTCAATCTAATTATGGTGGAATACTTTCCAGTAAATGGGCATCATTCTTTATCATCTACTGCTAAAGCATTTTAATGAATCTTCTCTACACTGTTTACTTACCAGTCATAGTCCATTACTGCAATGATCAGAGAGACGTTGTCGATGTTCTCATTGGGAATGTCAAAGACCAGTGCCTCGTTGTAGATGGGATTCAGCGTGTTCTTCTTGGTGGATGTCTTCCTCTTCTTCAGCCTACGGCCATCACAGATCAGAGAGGCTTTCACATAAGGGTCTAACAGGGAGAGCGAAGGAGAAGAAAATCACAGAATATTTGGAAGAACTATCATAATTATAAGTATTTATAATTCTAAGAAACAGCTAACATACAGGTAAACATTTTGTGGCTTTTTTATTGTGGAAAATCATGCGCAAAAAAAGAATATATTTTCTCTGGAATAATACTTGTGATTCACAGAATTCCAAGAACGTAATTTTTAGAATGCAATTTGCTAGTAGCAAGTTATGACACTCTCTGGAACAAATGTATGTCAATAAACATTGTAGAGAAAAATTAAATTACTAAATTACCATGAGACCAGGACAAATGAATCAACTGGCATGAGTAAAACCAGCACAGCTGCTGCAGTAGTCCTGATACATCAGAGCATAATCACTGATGGTATGGCTATCTACCTGAAAAGCCTGTGAGGTCCATGGCCTTCAGGTTGGTTGCCTTGATGACAGTGGCAGTGAGTCTACCCGCTGTGGGCAGGTAACACAGGGAGAAGTTCAGCTCCCCCAGGTCTGCCCTCTCCTGTTGGAGGCAGAGTTGTCCGTTTATCATTGATTTGAACTGTTTAGCTGAGGTTTCTATCCAGAACTACTCGCAAAATATTTGAGGCCCTTGTTTAAAGTGTCTTGGCCAGTTGGATCATAAGTCGACAGCCAAGACATCACCATTTACACCTGTGTCTATCATTCGTCTCCAAGGTGTGCAGCTCACCATCTGTGTTCAGATTTTGTTACTGTCCTGCGCACAGTTATTGTGAAGTAGTCAGGGACGAATCAGAGTTTACACTACAAATGATATGTGGTCGAATGCGTCCCAGACCACCTCAGTGAGTGGTTTGAGTGGTCAGATCACAATGTGTCTTGGTGGTCGTTTACGGCTCTGTTTAGCAGTGCCCACTTGCGATCTGATTGCCAAGGATGCATTTTAAAACCAAGTGTAAACAGAGCCTTAGACAACAGCTGGCCAGAAGCATTGAACCTTTCATACAGAAACATGAGCAGGGCCCTGTCTGGGATCAGAACTGTCTGATTCCATACCATATGTTTATATTTATAGCAAAACCACACAGCCATACAGTCACCCACCCCCCACACTGCTCATGCATTACACTGTCACACTGAGCCTGAAGCCTGTCTCAGGCAGCAAACGGCAAGGATTCCTGTCCATTACACTATGGACAATTTGGAGACACCGGACGCCTAAGCACATGTTTTTGGACTGCAGAAGCAAATTTCCTGTGAACACAGGGAGAGCATTCCAACGTCACACACACAGAGCGAGGGAGGGATTCACCGCCCCAACCCTTGAGGTGTGAGGTAACAGTGTGACAGAGCCACTGTGCCAGAAACAGCAGAGATATACCAAGACACAAAGACGGAACAGGCGCTCCGAGACAGGCGGGGGCGGGGGCCTCTTACCGCCGTCCCCTCCACAATGTCCCTCCACACAGGCTTCTCCCCGCTGCCCTCGCTGAAGTCCAGCAGGTTGTCCACGACCACCTGACCGATGAGGTCGTGCCTGGAAAAGCGGTCGAAGTCGTAGATGGAGAAGTGGAGCTTCCTGTTGTGAAGTTCAGCGAGTGGCACCCCAAACTGAAAGGTTTCGTTAAAGATCGGGTTTAAGGTCTTCCTGTGGACCTGTAAGGGAGCGAAAGGCAGCCCCGCATCAGTGAACACCATAACAAACAGCCAAGGTTTGCACACTCCTTACATTCTACCTTAAACAGCATGGCTTCCTCAAATCAATTATAATAGGTACAATTACTATGATGTAATTATGTAATTAAACTATTACAAAAATAATTTAATTAAAATAATGGGGTGCAGAAACATATCAGTGGATTAAGGCATCCCTAACAAAGCATGGTTTCCATAAAGGTCATTACAATAATTACTATTACAATGATGAACTTACAATAATGTAATTAAACTACTTCTAAAATTATTAAATTAAAATATAAGGGTATGCAAAGACATATGGATTAAGACTTCAGACGCGAGTGGCGTCATTTAGAATAGGAAATGTCTCATATATCTTATTTTTATACTTCTGTCCATTAGGGTGCGTGTAATGCTGTAGAGACTGAAATTCAGATATATCGTAAAAGTTTAATTCAGATGACGTTTTAAAGGTTATGTGTTCTGTCACAGAGTGGCTACTGCACCTCATGGTGCTGGCATAATGGAAGATAATAACACGCATTAAAATACAGCTGAGACATTAAATGAGTCAGTATTTAAATATTATATTAGGAATTAACTCTTGTAAGAAACCCATCTGGAAGGAGAAATAACAGCACTGGGAATGGTAAATTCCAAGATATCACTCACTGACTGTAAAACACACATATACAGCTGCAGAATAAAGTAAGATACCATTCTAGAGTACACAAGAACAGAAGAACAAGATGAAGCAGGAGACACCAGGAATGACCAGAAACCAGTCACAGGTACAGGGCGGAGGCAACTTTCTAAGGACAGAGATGCCGGTAAACTTATCAGACAGTTTCTCATGAATCGGAGGATGACATCAAGTGACCTTCAAAAGGAATGGGGAACATTAAGTGCAGGTGTGAAGTGCACTGCTAGGACAGTTCGCATCAGGCTACTAGAAGCAGGAAGTGCAAACAAAGCAAGGAAGAAGCCCTTCATCAATGAGAAACAGGGAAGAACCAGGCTGCAGTTTGCAAAAAATATATGCAGTGGTACCTCAGTTCTCGAACTCATTAGAACTCGAATTTCTTAAAAGGCGAACCAACCAGTTCGAAAAAAAATGACCTAGAACTCGATCTGAATGTCGAACGGTGAACACCGACCTCAGATAAAATGAGTCACGCGGCACGTCTCTCAGCGGAAACAAAGGGTAACGCTTCAGTCTCAGCCTCGCATTTGCTGTGATAGCATCGTGCATGTTTACACTAGCTGAATACATATATTTAGACAGTAAAAATACATTTAGACAATGATAGACAGTAACAGTAATTATTATTATTATATTATAAAATACATTTAAAAACAAAGATTTCTTATTAATTATTTTAATATCATTAATGATAAACCATTAATACATTTAATTATAATAATATTGTCATGCCAAGCAGGGACGGAAAGGAGAGGGAAGGATCAGATGTCAGGGTATTGGGGAATACGGGGTTTAATTACAGGTAAGGCAGGCAAAATGCAGACGGACAATACAATGACTGGACTGGGGAAACAAACTGAAACGCGGACAAAACACATAGGACTAATGACAACAACCAGAAACAGCAGATCACACGGGGATTCCACACGGGGTTAACGAGGGGGTGTGGCACACAGAAGGAGAGGACGATCGTGGCAGAACACATTGGGTTTTTTTTTACTTTACACATTGTTTGGATACATTTATTTTCTTACTTTACAAATGACTATTTTGATAAATATGCTTAGATGTGTTTAGTACAGTATATGCTCTTCTTGTTTTATCCAGTTCATTTTGTGTTTAAATGCTAAAAAAAACATATTTAGGTGTAATTTTTTGGGGCCGGGAACCAATTAATTGGTTTTCCATTATTTCTTATGGGGAAAATTTGATCAGAACTCGAACTTTTTAGGATTCCAACCTGAGTTCTGAACGGATTAAGTTCGAGTTCTGAGGTATCACTGTATATTACTCACAGACACACACCCATAAACTCAGAAATGAAACGAAAAATTGTGCTGTGGTCTCTTAATTTTTTCTGTGCTGTATATTATAAGCATATTATATATATAACACTGTGCAAAAGTCTTAGGCAGTCAACAAAAATATTTAAACCTAAATAGCTGGGCAGTAAGAATAAATCAGTTTAACATTAGAATGTATGCAAAAAAAAATAAACAATAAATTTCCTTCGTTCTGCAAAAAGTTGCTGATTTTTTTTTGGATGGCTAGATGAACATCACTCCCAAACCTCTCCTCAGGAACACCCCAGCCATTCCATGTAAATTAATTAATTAATTACTTAAGTAACTCAATAAGGTATTGATTAGCCAAACAAGTTAAGTCAAAAAATTGGTGAAATGGCTAAGCTGACACACATTGACAGACATGAAGATCATTTAAACATCATTTTCTTTCTTTGACTGCCTAAGACTTTTGCACAGTGTTGTACAGATTGTCCTTGACATATGACTGGGTTCTGTTCCAGATGACACATCATATGTCAAAATTGACACGTGTTGGAACTGGCATTTACAATACGGTGTACCAACTTCTAACATGAAAAAAAATTACCAGGCTTCAAAAAAGTAAGTTAATTATGTCATATGTAATACATATAATAATTTTGTAAGTAAAACAAAATGTTTTTTGTATTAGAAGTTTTTAACCTAATGGAAATACAGTAGTAGATGAAGTCCTAATCCCTCACAGACTGCCAGCCCCCACTGATCTGTGTCCTTTAATATCACTAAGGTTCTTTCCGTTTCTTCTTGTCGGTTTGGGGGGACTCAGTGGTGTACTGGGACGGTGAAGGGTGTCTGAACACATTCCATTACCCTTAACCCCCAACCCCCCCCCACCCTAGATTTTAGACGTTTCAGACACTTGACAGACATGACATTTATTTATCTCTATTATCATTATTACCATTCATCACACACCCACCTGAATTTTTTTATATATATTTACTTTTTTTAACTTCAGTCTCATAGGTTGTGAGTCGCAGACATTCAACGTACATATACTTTTTTTGTTGTTCCCCTGAAACAATCAAGTGCATCCACATGGTCTCTGTGGAAAAATACGGTCATTGAGATTAAAAGGTTAATCTACCTTAGTCTGAAATTTCTTCTTCCTATCTGGCAGGAGATAGATCTTGACATATGGGTCAGAGAAGCCATTGGCGTCTTTCGCTGGCAAGTCAAGAGCTTTTAGGATCTTAACAATCAGCTGCTCCGTGCTGCAAGAGAAGACACAGGTAGGGTAACACTGAGCGATGCAATCACAGATACAGAGCAGGAACACAGATGAGCCTTCCTGGATTCACATTCCTAAAACGTAGAAGAAAAAACAAAGTGAGAGTCTATAATATGCAAAACTAGTCTAAAATTTGCATAAACCTGATGGAAACCATAATTATATATTCTTTAAACTGTAGGCCTACAGATTTGTTTATTAAAAAGGGTGGAAGTCAAATTTGATTAAGGAGTCAACATTTTAAATATTTAGGTTTAAATGCTGTCAAGCATGGAAGAGGCAGTGGAGATATTTACCAAATCCATGGTGATCTCAACCACTATAGCTATCACATCATACTTCAAAGGCATGTCATCTCATCAGAATTATGGCTGAAGGCACAGTCTTTCATTTTACATCAAGATACTGACCCAAAACACACATCAAAACTGTGCAAGAACTACCTGGTGAAGATGAAAAATGAAGGACCATACAAGCCAATGACCTGGCCTGGCAAGACTACAGACCTGAATCCCAAACTATATGCATGTGACAAATTAGACAGACGAATCAAAGCAAAGCCACTCAACCCACAAACACCCAGCATTTCTGGGAATAGCAGAAGAAGATCTGGGAAGACGTGTCAGGTAATCTCCTGCTGGAACTTAAGGAACTGCCTCAGGTTTGTGAAGCTCTTATGAAGGCAAGAGGTGAATCCAAGATTTAGAATTTTTTTTTGAGCTCTGCTTTAGTGCTAAAGTGGAAACTCCAGAGTTGGAGATTTGAATCCTTCCTTTGCCCTGTACACATACTGTATGTGTATGTATGTGTGTGGGTCAGACATACATTACATCGTGGGGACCAACAAAGACCTGTTATTTTGATGTTGTGGGGACCATTTTTTTCTGTCTCTTCAAGGAGAAACTTTTCTTTTATAAAAATCCGTTACTGCAATTAAAAAACTAAAAATATTAATAGTATTTTGTTTTGTTTGGTTACTTATGGTTATGGTTAGGGCTGGGTAGGGGTTAAGGGCGTCATAGTTAGCATTAGTATATATCCCACAGAAATGAATGAGCAGTCCCCAGAAAGATATGAGTACAGGTTAGTGTGTGTGTGTGTGTGTGTGTGTGTGTGTGTGTGTGTGTATGTTCTCTGGGTGCTGCCCAGGTTTACTCTCCAGCTACCTCCCGCAGCCCAAAGATAGGCGCTTAGGTGAACTGATACCTCTAGATTGCCTATAGTATGTGTGTATGTATGCCCACATGCCCTGCAATGCACAGGCGTCCCATCCAGGCTGCACCCCAGCCTTGTGCCCTGTGCTGCCTGCGACAGGCTCAAGGGACCCTTCTGCCACAACCCTGTATTTGATATGTAGCGGAAAGTTGGATGGATGCTTTGGTGCTTCATATGGTTTTGAACTGTAATGATTATTTGAATTTCAAGTGCAAATATATGAAAAAAACAAGTGTATTTAACCTTTTGAGGAAAAGAAGAGTTTTCAGACATGGCTATTATTTGCATACTGGCATTAAAATGGCAGATTTACTGGCTATTACCATGCTATTTTATGGAAACCTCATTAAGAGTCATCTATAATTCTGTTTAGTCTCTAAGAACATTATAGTACAATAAATAACACACGTTTAAAAGTCATAATATACTGTGCATGTAAACTACACAGACTGAAAATAAAAAATCAATCCAAATGTGCACACTCATTTTTTTATACACAGAAGGGGAAACATATTGCTTTTAAATGTTTTTACTTCACAAGACAAAAGTGAAGGTTTAACTGTTTTATATTCAATAGTTGATTAACGCAAAGGGTTTATGACTACACTAGAACTGATCTTGAAAATACAGTGAATAATTACAAACATGGCTCAAATTGTGGCTATAATTGTGGCGTAAACTAAGTGACATACTTTACGACTGTACTTTCCTATAAAGACCAAGAACATGCATAATGCAGCAACTGAGATGATGAAACAGGTAACGGCACATTTCCTGCGAGGTTGCCACATAAAGCCTGTAATTCCCACTCCGGCCCTGCGTCTGCCTTCCACAACAGCACCAGTAGGGCCAGATTTCCCAGGAGTCCCAAATGTGTCTCTGACTTTGATATAACGCAGATAAACTACAGTCCCAGTTTACACACTAGCTGGCACAGCCGCAGAAACACACTGTTAACTACTGAGAATCCCCATTCAATCAGACGTGATAAACAGTATAATTAAAACTTGTGGAGAACAGAAATTATCTGTCAAAAGAAGGGCAGTAACAACCTGTTCCCTCCAAAATTCTCTGAGTCATATGTCTCCTCCTTCCATTCTCCGCCTGGCTTTGTGTTGCATTTTATATATGTCATAAAATTGGCTGTTGTTATATGTTGACACATTCACCCTTTAAAATAGAGCCCTATATATAATTCATGCTAACACTGCCTCTTGTTCTCATTTTTTTTCTATCATCAGCAGTTTCTTCATTTTAAACAGATTTCACTGAAACTGCAGAGAAAGACCCACACAGCACGTCAGAGCCACCCTGACAGAGCTTGGCCATAAGTGAGTGTCATTAAACTTCTCTCATTTACGCTCATCCTCACATTCAAATCCCCCCCCCCCCCAGTCTCTCTCATCACAAATCCTCTACTTGTTCACAGCCCAGAGAGTTAGAATATCACAGTGAAATCGATGTGCGGCACAGAGCCCATCTGGATTAAAGGGACTGCGTTACTGAGTAACGGGACGGCTTCACTCACTTGAAGGCGTATCGCAGAAGGAAGCTGATCTTCCCACAGGTGTTGCCCTGTTTAGTATCCCCCTGCTCCCCTTGCCGCGGCTTATACAGTTCCGGCTTGATCTGACCGATGCTGGTCAACTGCTCGCTCTTCTCATCGCCATGGAAATCAGGGCTGGACAGCTGGTGCGTCATGGGCCGTGGGCTGTGAACAGAGACAGAGTGCTTCCTCTCCCAGACTGCGGAGACAGTCGCAGGCTGGAAGAGGCCCAGGACACTGACAGCGTTTGCACACACATATGGAGGCATGGCTGCACGGCCTGGCGGCCAGCTCAGGCCTGCGTGCCACAAGGCCTGCTATACTGACCGTGCTGTGACCTGCTGCTGGGAATGAGCGTTGGGCAGCTCCCTGGCAAACTGGGAGGGGGGTCCCACCTCAGACGACGGGGGCAGCTCTGGAGAGGTCTGGCTCAGCTTCAAGCCGCCTTGAGTGAATGATAAAGAGGCCGGGCGTGCTCAATGATTCACTTCGAGGAGCCCCGGCACGGCACGCCTGTGCAGCACTTACATCTCATGATTAACATTTAGAGCAACGCCTGTCTGGCTTCAAATTTATGAAAACTGCGCACTTATTTTGCCTTGAGAGACACTGCAAATAATGGATCCTACCTCTCCCTGTAAACTTTGTACACATAAGGCATCAGGCACAGCCGCAGATAGGCATCACATTGAGAAATTAAGGGACAGCCTAGACCACCGTACCTGCAGCGGCGTTTGGATAGCAGTCCATGTCCAGGTACGAATGTTCCTGCATCTCTTGGGGACCCCCCACCACGCCGATGGGGGCTCTCTCTGGACCCCCAATCACCCCGCCCACTCCTCCTTCGCCCCTCTCCACCACCAGCATGTCAGAGAAATGTGGGTGGTGCTGGGCCGATTGCGAGAGGGAGGGGTACAGCGAGGAGGAGGAGTGCGTCTCCTTCCTTTGCAACAGAGTTGGAAGGAGGGAAGAGCCTCCCCCGCCACTCACTCCACCGCCCCCAGGAAGGAGCCCCGCAGTCAGACTCAGCCCGCCCCCCTCCTTATCCCTCCAGGGAAGCCAGCATAACTTCCACGAGACAAAGAGGGACACAGAGAGGAGCACGATGCCACAGAATGTCACAATGACGGAGAGCAGGCTCACAGAGATGTCTGAAAGAGAGCAGCGGAGGCATGTAAGCACATCAGAGCTCCATATCCCATAATCACTATTTTCCATCCACCATCCTTAAGAGCAATCTGGAATTTTCCTCTTCCTGTCAACATGATGCGTTTAAAGAGAAACTTGAAAGTGGAGAGAGAAAAAAAAACAGCAAATCGGCTTGCGAGAGAAAATGACAGAGACAGACACTGTTTGGACAAGCTTGGGGCAGATTGTGGAGGAACGGATTGGAGCAGTTGTCGATAAACCGCTCTCTCTGTACTCTCTGCATGTCCCTAATTAGTCATATCTCACAATCCGATGGCCTTCATTAATAGGGTCTATAAATACTAAGAAGCACAGAAGTGCAACTTGATTGTAGACAGATGTGTAACTGGACCTTTTTGTCTGTGCATCTATTAATACCCATAGAGGCGGCTTTAGATTTTAATAGGTGCATCAGTCACATCAATGTCCCTAGAGAATTATGAAGATCTACTCCAGACTTCTCTTTGCGAGGGCAAGTATATTTTCATAATAATGCAATATTAACAGCTAACCGACACATAAATTAATCATGGGAAATGTTGAAATTGATTGACATATCTTGATGCTCACAAAATACACCTAATGAGACAATTAACCTGGTTATTATTAAATGTCTGCATGTCATGCCTTGCATTTTGCTACATTTAAGTGGTCACTCGCTTGGCCATGCATCTATTTTTAATAATGATCTCTGTGGCAGCGATCCAGACCACATCTCAGGACTGTATCACAGGACTGTATCCTAGGACTTGAGTGTGATCCAGGGTACATCCTGGGTGGGAATCCAGTCAACAACAATTTATAATAGACAGTTCTCCTGAACTGCACTTGTTCGGACCGCCAGCGGAATCCAGAACATCCAATAAACCAAACTGGAAATGGACATACAGTTTCAGAACTAGTGGTTCTGGACAGCTCCACACACACACACAATTTACAGTAGTTTACAGAAACCTTCTCTCTCATCCGTGAGTCTGTACTGTAAGTGTGTTAGCTGGTTCGGAACTAACCACATGCCAGTCAAGCCATCAGCGCGTCACACTTCCATCGCTTACACTTTTCATTCCCTTCCCCCTTTATTATCCTGTCTCTCCATTTCTTTTGTGAATTATTCAGCAGCCAGAGTGTGTGTCATCAATTCGGCAGCCTTTCGACAGATATGATCACATACAAGGAGTGAGGTACGGACGGGCAGAAACCCGAGGCAAAGAGGGAGGCAGGAGAGGAACAAATTTGTAGCTGCAGAAAGGAAAACACAGCTGGAAACTGAAAGGGGGAAATCAGAGCGAGTGTCGGACAGCCGGGGTGGGGGTGGGGGGTTGCTGTGTGAGGCACAAACAGGTTAGCATGCATTCAGGAGTGGACATATGCTGACAAGGATAAGTCAGGGCATTCAAAGCGGGAGGCTAATGAAGTCACAGTCGCGTGAGCTCTGTTTACACCTGGCAGAGTGTGTGAAATGCAGAAATACGGAAAGATGAGATACGATAAGAAATAAGATGGATTAAGGGATTTAGGGGACTCTGCCAGAAAAGCCCAGCATCAGTATCTTCATTGGCATCAGAATATTTCACTATGAGCCACTAAAGCCAGTTCGTATAAAGAACTGAAGTACAGTGGAGTGGCAATAATCAGCTCACATTCCATGAACCTGAAAACCAGCACAAATCATCACGCAGCCCTTTTCATAACCAAGAAGAAGCACTGCACTGCAGCCTCGGAGCTGGCCCAATTCTGTCCAGTACCTCAGGTGCTCCCATACCTCAAGAACTGTTAGTGCTATAAGCTGCCCGCATGCGTCTCCTACCTGTGCCCCAGTCTGCCTGCACCCCCTGCCCTTTATTTCAGCAGTGAGCAGCTTACCAGAGTCTGTCGGCCTGTTGTGGCCGTTCCGCAGGTAATCGAATTCCTGACAGCGCTTGTTCTGGCTGTAGCCCCTCGACGAGTGGAAGCAGAGCTCCTCCACCAGAATGAGGGCCTTTTTACACAGGTGTTCCTCCCAATCTCCCGACATTGTCCAATCGGCATTGCACTCTCTGCCTCAGCCGGCCAATCACAGCAACGTCCAGAGCACCCAGGCCAAGGGTAGGTTCCCTGCAAAAAAAAAAAAATTAAAAATCCAGAAATTCAGTCAGTTTAATTGTGCCTAACTTGAAGGACTTTCAGAAAGACCCCGGTTGGTATTGCAGCTTTCTGGAGACACTGTGTCCACCGTCGGCTGCGGTGACGTCCACTCTGAAGGTGACTCCCTTCTGTGAGTGCATAACACACCTCTCCCAGAATCCCTTGCAATACAGAATTTGAGATATGGCACAAGACAGGGCGAGGGGCAAGACTGGGTCAGGTTATGGGGAGAAGCTGTAGCAGAAGGAAGAAGAGTCGTGAAAGTAGGACAACAAGATAGATGAAGAAAGAACAGCGCAGAAAAGAAGCGAATATAAAAGGGAAGGCAGGGCACTTTAACACTGGCAACAGCCACATAGTGTTATAGTGTCTTCAAAACCTAAAGAAGTTACGTACTATTCTACTGATCAATCTGAACTAAAAAAAATACAATTTAACATCTGGTGTTTGGTATCTTACAGAAATACCAACTTAAATGTTTTCCCCAAAATTCTTTTGCATAAAAAGCCTTCAACATATAAATCTCAATGACTAAGGCTTTGCAAAAATGTTAGTATTAAATGAGGATGATAATCTGAAAACAACACCAGTCTTTAGTAAAAAACAAGTGACATGACACTAAGAAACTGGAAGCTAATATTACAGATATTAAAGTTATATAAGGAAAGCAATTTGTTGTTCTCCGTTTTGATTGAGGATTGTCTTAAAAGTTCTAGCTCTGTGCCTGGATGACAAAAAGGAGGCAAAAAGTACACAAACACACATATATTAATATGACCTTCCTAACTAAGGCAGTGTTCTTATGAGACGACTTCTTCTGCTTCTCTCCTTGGGTTTCAAGGTGTATTTTTCCCTCCATTACCAGCTTTAATTTGAGCTTGCATTTATTTACCACACACATATATTTCCTAAAATATCTGGTTGCACCTTCAGACCAGCGGGTATTTATGAGAATCATATAAAGATGTTTGTCGCCATATAGGGCCTGAATCAATTTGCCTGGCAGAGGATTCTGTGATGATACAGAGCATGTCGAGACCCTGATGTTTGGACAGCAAGGTTGCAACAGCTCCAGTTGGTGTTTAGACACACCGCGTGAGAAAGCTGGAAAACATGCTCAGTATATTTTGAAAAATATTTTACAGCATATTATATGAAGTGCTCAAAAAAAGAATATCTATAAATAAACATTTTCATTAGTGCAAGCTTTTTTTTTTAACCCCAGCAGTGCCACCAAATGTTAAAAACTGAACTACAGTTTTCATTGGCCTGTGCTGTCCATGACAGCCGCACTTAGCAACCTATGACAGACCAGTGCAACCTGGACGATGTAGGTAACCTCAAAGTAAGTGTTATATGCTTTGACTGGGAAAGTCACCTGTCTGAAACATTTAGTGTACTTGATAAAGATCCATGCATCAAGGAGGACCCCCGCCCCCCATCTCTCTGATCTGTCATTTAATCTGCCAGTACCCCCCCCCCCCCTTTAAAATCTAGTAGATTTCACAATGAGGAATAAGCTGACTGGCACAGAGCTGCACATAACAAAGATTGCCAGCAACAATTACATTGCATATATAGCACAGGCTCTGGAGAGGAATGACAAGGAGGGGTGAGACAAAACGGCAGACGGAGAAGCCAGGAGTGGAGCAGAATAAAGGGAAGAGATAGAGAAGTAAAAATAGGACATCTAAGGCATGGAGGTTAGAATGGAGGGAGAAAGCAAGGGAGAGGAGAGAAAGGAGGAAGAAATACAAAGTGTGAATGTTAGAGATCACAGGACTAAAGCAATGCATATATCAATGGAATGCCAATTTGCCTTAAATACTGCATGTGTTCACACAGTCTAGACCAGCAGTTGTAAGTTCCCAAAAAGGTACACAAACAGACAGGCAGGAGTCTGCATTGTACAACTGAACAAATAAAGACAGCAGACACACTTGGAAACATATACACTCGGAAAAGAGAGAAGACAGCAGTGGATTGGACCCATATGATAACGCAAGGAGAATAAAGAAAACATGAGAGAGGTGTGCCCGAGAAAGAGAGATCGTGCTGGCGGTCGTGGCGGTAATACATGCACGCCTGCATCTGAATTATGCAGTCCCATTTACTTTTAATATGTGTGACATCGTTGGCCCTCGAAGGAAAACTAACTGAATGTCATCTAAAAACACATATAGGGACCGGCTCTCTGATACACTTCAAATACATAAAGTGTAGAAGACATGCACCAACCGTTTGCATGGTCACTATGCATGAATATCCATAAATGAAATATATTTACAATGTAGGAGGAAATGAAATGCACTGAGGAAACAAATAAAAGGGAGGTGCACACATGTATAAACAGAACGAACTAACAGGTTAGCTTATACTGAAATACTTATCTACTGTAGGCATATGTACAGAACAAGCACATGCACATACGTTTAAAACGTCTGTTTGATTACAGCTTCCTGCAAACGCTGGATATTACCAGGTCAATGACGCATTGACAGTTATTTAACTAATGGCATTTTTATTAGTCCATGCATGTGGCTGTTATTCTCCTCCCTTGCATCCCGGAGCTGCTTCTTCCCTATTCTCCAACACATTTAATCAAAAACGGCAATCCCACCCTACACCAGGAACATGGAGAACCAGGCCGGCCGGAATACTACACCTGAGATTAAAGGAGGTGGTAGAGGGATAGACTGAGAGAAACACTGGGACGATATATCCCGTAATTCTCTCCTCTTCCGTCTCTTGGTCCTCTTCTGTGAGTATTTTTCAGCGTCTGTCCAGCCTCCCTCTCTCTCTCTCTCTCTCTCTCACCCTCCCTGCCGGGCGCGCGCGCGTGCCCGTTCTCCCCGTTTGTGAACTGAATACTAAGCGGTTGCCTTCACTGACTGTACAGCCAGACACTGAGATTGGGGTGTGTGCGTGTGTGTGTGTATATATATATATATATATATACACACACACACACACACACACACTGGTACACTATATATATCGTAAGTATGTATATGGTTATATTACTTTATATATAGCCTATAAACACACATATATACATACATATAGACAGCGAGAAGATGATGAGAGCGCTGTGGGAGGGAAGCGTGATGTGGGGATGCGATTTTCGAGTGAAAGGGTAAAAACGGAGCACCTGCGCCATGAAGGCAGGCGGCATGCGCTACGGCTCGCGCCGTGACGTGCACGCGGCACGGCGTGCTGCTCGCTCTAAATTTGGAGAGCTTAGTGCTCACTAGCAGGGCGTTATTTTTATCGCCGATGCTCATTGTTTAAGTGCTTCTCGCTACCAGCCTTTATCGCTTCTGTTAACGACCCAGGTATTGCTGACGTCGTGCTTTTTATATAACCGAAATCGCTCTACACCATTTCCACTGTTGTTGTACGTTACATAATTACTACCGCAGACACACAACCGTTTTCCGTAATTAATAGTAATACACATTGGACTGATATCCTTAATAGATACAAAATGAACATATTAATTTCGATAGCGCTATCTAAAGGACTACTACTCGTCCCAGGCAGTCTATTGCAGTTAGGTCGAGAGAAACTGCACCTGGGTTCCCTAGATGTTTGGGCGTAGTGAAAATACCGCGCCTGCAAAAATCAGCATAAGCACCACTTGGCTCTCTCAAGTGGACTCGTGAGACCAGATTTTTCCGTCCTCCGTGGTTTTTATAATAATATTGACATGCACTGACTGTGTATCTGCTGCACCAGAAAACCGTAATTAACCATTATCAAAGGTTTTCTGGGCATCGTTCTTTTTTATGAATGGTATTTGTTACCGAAAACATTTCCTTGAGTACGGTGAAATGTCAATGAATAAGGGTAACAATAAAGACGTTATCACATATTAAATTAATAATATTTGAAGCATAATGACACTGAGCAGCCAGACCACACCCAGACTATGTCATCTTGCCCGTGAGAGTATTCTTTCCATTGTAGATTTGAAGGAACCGGAGACAGTGAACAGCAGGCAGAGAGGCAAGGCCAGATTGACATATAAATGATTGTAAACAGCTGCCTCTGCTAACTGCCACTTTAGGGCATTGGGAGAAAAGATATATTCAGGGAATAAGATAGGACAGGAGAGAGAGAGTGGGCAGGAGTACAAGCAAAAGAGAACAGAAAAAGACAGATGACAGCTTTAAAATAAGGAGAGAATGGGTTTTCGAGTGGGTAGGGGGATATGAAATAAGACGTTAGAGAACAACAAAGGTTTTGTGCCAATGATAGAGAAATTATAGGGAATGGGATGTATGAAATCATAGTTAGGGCTGGGCATAGTTATAATGACTGTCATAGTTAGGGCTTGGGGTAGACCGTTCATAATGACTAGCTGTGAGGGGCCCAGACTGTCGTCTATGTCGTATTTCAGTTCAAGGCATTCAATCTTGTGTCTAACAAAGTCACTCTTACTTTCAGTGTATGTGCTGTCAAGCACAGGCAAAAAACGCCAAATCGTGAGTGAGAAGTGTAGAGGTATAGCCCGGCATCGGCGTTCAGACACTGGTGTTGATCACAACTGGCAGGTGTCGTTGCCTGAACAAGAAAAGCAGGACAATAGATGCCCCGCACAACCCTGCCAAAAGGAAGAAAAGTAAATGAATATGTAGCCATCTATCTTCCAAGCGTTTAGCTCAGTCAGGGTCACCGGAGGGTTTGGAGTTTATCCCAGACAGCACAGAGCGAGCCTTAGGTACAGATGCATGGCATGCCGGTCCATCACAGCGACAGCGAATATAGAGGCACCAATTAACCTCACTGCATATTTTTGGACTCTGGGTGGAAACCAGAGTACCCAAAAGAATCCCAGATGACACAGGGAGAACATGCAGTCTCCACACACACAGAGCGTAGTTGGGATTTAAGCCTGCAACCCTGCAGGTGTGATAACCATTGAGGCTCTGTGCTGCTATAAATAGGACCAATCAAGAGTTCAAGTACCCTGACTGCAAAGTTATTTTTTTTATAATTTGTTTCATGTTTTTAAGTATATACAAATGAAAAAGTATTAAAATATATAAAACAAACAAAATGAGTACCAAAACAGCTATACTGGTATCCAGTATAACTTTGTGAGCAGTCAGGATGGCGAACAGAACAATGTGAAATAGGCATTTGGAAGCAATCAACAGGTTTATTAGGTCCCGTTTCTCTTTTCAGGCATCTCATTTCAGGCCAGTGAGAAAAAAAACAGCTGTATTGATGCTTTGCTGGTGAACAGGGAATCAAATGAACAGGAGGAGCTTATGAGTCTTGGGCCTAGCATCAGCAGTGGGATCCGGATTACTGGAGAAAATCAAAACAGAACCAAGAGAGATTGGTGGGACATGTCAATACAGATAAGCCAGGTCACATGATTCTCCCTCCTGAGAAATATGGTGCCCAGAGAGTCATACTGGTGGATTCAATATTCAAATATAATGGGTAAGTTTTTTTGTTTGTTTGTTTTACTTTAACGCATCCCTATATTTCAGAATGGAAATGAACACGGGAGAGATGAAGTCAGAGAGCCCAGGAGAGTTAAGTGATCCTTGTCAATGCTGCTGAAAAGTCAAAGCAAACCAATTAATTTTTGTAGAGTTGGTTGTAATTGTGACAGGCGTGAGCAGAAATGGGAGCAAAGGGGAAATTAAGAGCAGAAAAATAAGAGTCAAAGGTCCCTTTCACAATCATGAAAGCTTCACGGGAGATGGTGTACCATCTGTAGCAAGTAGCTTTAATGAAGTAAAGAACAGATGAGTCAAAATTATCTGTCTGATCAGAAAAAAACAAGCTCTCTAGTTCAGAGGAAATTGCAAGTCTTGAGAGCTTAAACATTATCTCTATCCAATTAGCTCAAAATTTAGCAATTTTTTTTATTCAGCTCTGTCCTTTAACACTCATTTTATTACTTTTTACAGGATTTCAATCGAGTTCAGAACCGAAGGTCCTAAACTGCACAGAAGTTTAAAGACGCTGAAGGATCTGCCCTCCGTTTATCTGGCTGAAATCTCTAGCGTATTGAACACAGTCTGCAATCACAGCCTGCAGACTTTATTGTACCTCCTAGAATAAAGAGAAGCACTGCAGTCAGTAAAGCCTTCAATTACTGGGCCCTTATGGTATTTAATAGTCTGCCGGCCAATGTAAGGGATGTCTGCTCAATCTCGACACGTAAATCAAGACTAAAAACCTTCTGTAGCATAAATAAAGCCGCTGGTTCTGCTGCCTGTACTGCCGTCGATGAGTGTTTATAAATATGTGTTATATTTCTATATTTCTACTGACCTTCTGTTTGTTGCTTTTGTCCTCCTGGCAAGAGCATTAGCCGAGTGAATCCTACAGGAATTTGGAAGCAGCCCCAGTCCTTACAGCAAATGCAGCAGACCTACTTAACGTCACCTCCCAGAGCTCAGATAAGACGCCCATGCAGTGCAGTGCTCCTGCTTTGCATATTTTTTTTTGCTTGTATAAAATTAACATGCTCAGTGGGGTTTGGCCTGACTGGCCTTTGACCTCACAATGTGTTTTTTTCATCCATAAGCAAACTCTGGAGTTTTCTGCACCAAATTAAATTTGAGAATGTGAATTGTTGCTATGGATATTATAATGCTATCATTATGGGCCAAATGTTTCTAATGTGCTTTTCATATGTTAAGCATATTTGGGGCAACTATTTTAGCAAAGGTATTCTAAAAATCAGAACTGATCGAAGTAGAACTAAATGGCAGTGGTTTATGTTGCATATATTACTTTTTAGGCCAGTATGTATTGTACAAATCTAAATGATGGATTTTTTAAATGTGTAATATTACCTTTAGGGCATTGTACCTGTTTTTGCTGTTGTTGTTGCCTTGTAGCCTTGCACATTAATGATTAGGCTCCACTGCCCCTATGTGCGTGGAGTTTCCTTGCGTTGTCCATGTTTGGCTGGGTTTCCTTTCTTAGTATAGAAACTCATTGTTAAGTAAAATGGTATCTCTAAAATGCTGGTATTTTGTGAGTATGTGCCTATGCTGGACAGATCCCAGGCTTACTGTAACCGTGTACTGGATAAACAGTTTTCAATGGATGGTTGCTAGATATAGCACATGCACAACTAGAGGTCATTCTCTTTAATCTAGTTCAGCATCTACATTGTTTACCTAAAAATTAGTGTTTATGCACCTACCTGTTTGTAATGTATGAAATCAATTGTAGTATTCACCTGACCCCATACCATAGGAATATTTTTTACATATTTTACTAAGTGCACTGAGAATGAACTACACCATTTTGCAATTCTGCCTGAAAACAGGAGCTTGGAAAAGGACCATATGTTTAGCTAGGCTAAGTACCCATTTTACATGTTGCAGCATTGGAGAACAGTGTTGGAGTGAGACAGGCTCGTATAAATAGCTTTCTCAAAAGAAACTATGGTGAGTTGGGTCAACAGGAGCAGCCACTTGAGAACGACAGTGGCCCTGCCCCAAGAAAAACACATTTCTAAATGTTTAGAACTAATAGTGCACTAATAGCCAACAGAAAAGGTGTGTTTCTCAGCCCTCGATGGAAGGAAAAAGCTACTGAGGAAAGGTAATGATGCCCTGTGACGTATGTTCCAGCAGATCTGCTCCTGCCAATCATAAAATGGCTTCACGAAATTGATGTTAATTGTATTTCGTCTTTTGTATCTTCTAGAAGTTCTGCAGTGACAAGATTTGCCAGTGAAGTTCTCAAACCTCTGAGCGTGATCCTCCCCCAAGCTGGTGTTTAAAGCAGTTTCTTGCTGAGATAATGTGACACATTCATTCTAGTAGATGATCATGGAGCTGAATGTGGATCATCTCTCTGTATCTCTACTAATGGATTGTTTTCCCACACACAGAGCAGGCATTTCGCTGTGTTAACTCTTGTTTTTATGATATGCCTCTTGTTTTCCCATTTTTTTTCCAGTTCATCATGTTACCATGGCAATAGTCTTTTAGGGGAAGTCACCTACACCTCTCATCTCTCTTGGCCCTGTCTTCTTTGTGGTCTTGCTCATTTCTTACTCCTTAAACTACTTCTAGCCCCTCGCCACACATCGCATCTCCCCCCAGCACAGCTTTGTCTGGTTGTTTTTGTTTTTTACCTTTTCCATTCTGCCCCCCCCCCCAATCAATGTTTTTTTTCTCCCTTTTTTCCCTTTTGCTGAATCAAAGACATGCTTTTTAGACCGCGTGCACTTTGGTCATTTGTCACTCCTTTTATCTCTCTATGTCTCCAAGTATTTTAGAGGGAGAGATAAGTACACATGTGGGGAAAAATGACTTGGGGAACAAAAAAACATTATATGGAGCAATGTCTCAGCTTCACACATAAATAATGTATGCATGTAATGCATGTCGAAGTTCCCCTACATCTGGTTAATGGCATCTGACTCACACGTACCACTGTGAATCGGGGCTGAGACAAAGACTCGCTGTTACAAATGGACCAGGGGACATTACAGCCCCGATGAGTCACACCTTTACCCTGATTGCCCTGCTTCCAACATGCTGTATAACAAAAATCTGTCTCCTTTAAACATAATAATGCAGCTTAATATTAGTCATTTCATATATATTATATATATTGTTTATAAGTTCTTTGAAGTCTACGATGGTTGAGCAAAACAGAATCAAATTAAAAAAATAAAACTAAAAATATATATATATATATACAGGAATATGAGGTTCTGTGTCACAGTTTTGCAGATTTATAAGGTTTTATTTGGCTTCTTAATAGCAATGAATAGCAATGAAAGTGTTCAGTTTTATAACGGGGGACAGGTTAGAAATATAGTGTTATTTAACACCACCTCTCCTTCTGCTGCCGACCCCCCCCCCCCCCCTCCCCCCCCCCCCCCCCCCCCCCCTTTTTTTTTTACTTTTCACACGTTGCACATTTTATCTTGGTTATAAAAAAAGCCCACCTTTAAGGAGCAGCACTGGGAGTGAGCACATCCATTCAGTTTGGACAGGAAACACTGGGAGTTATTACACAGGACCTGAGAGCTCCAGCATTGTCATTCAGTATAGGAGCCCCAAGAACTGAATGCAATTAGCAATTAGCTGCTTGATCTATTGGGAGGTTGTCACATACTGAGGGTCATGCAGAGAGCACTCTGGACCACAGTGTCGGGAGTCTGTACAAACTACACAGGCTGCTTTACTCTTGTCCCTCCTGTAGAGACACAGCTTGGAGATGCTGTGAACATCGCGGCTCTTTTCCACAGATTAAACCGTTTTGGTGCCACATTATTGGAAACCATTTATGCTGTTTGTTCAGCATGGAGCATTCGGTCTGTTTTCCACAGTTACAGAATGGCTGCTCCTTTCGGCTGTGTATGTATGTTTCTCACATTCTATCATGTCAATCCTCCCTCACTTGTGAAATTGCCTTTCTGCTCATTTTAATGTATGACCCCCCTTGTTGGCACCTTTGGCAGCACAGTCCAGCTACTGTGCCAATAAAGCACTCTGGATTGAAAATGAATTGGTACTGAGCAGACTATATGGGTAAAACTATAAAAATAATTGGAAGATGTTCAAAAGAAAACTGTATAAATTGTACAGATAGAAAGGTGGGGGGTGGGAAATGTCTAAAACTCTACAAGCATCACGCCGCTGAGGACGGGGGGAGGGTGTTTTGCTTGCTGTGACGGTTTATTTGGTTAGAAGGCAACAATTAGCCCGCAGTTAATTAACCATAATTTTCTCATGGAGAGCAAGGAGTGTAAAGATGCAGGCGGAGGATTTGGGAGAGGGACGGGGGCAGCTGGGAAGGCCAGGGACAGGGAGCCCCAAGAGCCCTGGTGAGATGGAGGATGCCGGCTGTCCCAGGCAGGAGGAGGTGTTGAGCGTGGGTCTGTGACTGTCAGCTATTGCTGCCCGCTAGTTAGCAGGCCTGGGCCATTTCAGCTGGACCCACAAGCACCATGCTTCTGGGCAGCGCCGACGTCCGGGAGCCGTTCTTCATGGTGAAGAGCAGCGCCGCGCCCGCGTCTGTGAGAGCCTGATGGAGAGCTGAGGTTAATGCATGATGGACGTAGCCAATGGAGGCTGCGGTGAGCTGCAGCAGCACTGACAGGGAGGCAGCCCAGCACTGCACGCCCCCTCCCTCGCAGTATAGATACCTGCTGGCTGCCACCCCAGACCGGCTCCATGACAATTAGCCTAATTGAAAACTTGAGGGGAGCCATTTTCTAGATTGAGTCTCTCTTTAAAAGTTTTTTTTTTTTTTTTTTTTTTTAATGAACATTAATTCTGTGCCAGGACTTGGTTTCAAAGTCACTCTTGTGCCTGCGGTATTGTGTAACGCAGCCATCTGATGCCTGCCTCAGCATCACTTAGATTTGAAAGGGGCTGGACGTGAGGTTAAGTACATAATCTGCAGCCTCCTTTAACAATATGCGGGTTGTTACACATGCGGAATACAGATAGATACACATTATCAGAACTGTGTGTGTGCAGACAGATACCTTCACAAATAGCAACACAGTACAGCAACTGGCCATTCAGACACTCACCAGTATAGCTGTTATGCAAATACACAACACACATGCACGAATACATACGCACATATATACATGTATTCATGATTGTATATTACCTGTATATCTGACATAGAGAAAGGCTTAGCCTAGAACAAAAGAAAGATAAATTATTGATCCTGATAAGCAATGAACCAAAAACAATAAATCATATTAAATAACTAAATATACATTTGTTTTATTGTTACATTAAACTTTTCAAAAACATGGACAGTATAAACCTAGATTTGCAAAATGCAATATTCTAGTATATTAGACACACACAATGACTGTTTTTACAAACAGCATGGTATATCATGGTATATCATGGTATATCATGTCACTGTTATCTCACCCTTGTGTAGATATCAATGCTGTTAAAGATGGGATCCATGATTTCCACCCATTGTCTGTGCTTCTGTTCTTCCTCAACACTTCTCACATAATCTCTGTTATACCAATAAGAAACAAATGGCAAAGTCACCATGACACTCTGCTAGATCATTATTTGGAATATAGATGGATGGACGAATGACAAGCTTTTCTATCCTAGTCAGGGAGATGGAGGAGAGGGCGGCTGTAGGGCACAAGGCTGCAGTGCACCATGAATGGCCTGCCAGTTGCACATAACCATTCAACTATTTTCTGATAATTTTTATGCTAATTTTGTTACTCAGTACCACAGGTAATAAAAAAAACTGAGCAACATTGCCCTCTGCTGGTCACATAGCATATTTGCAATGTATAACTCAAAATGCCTATGCAGATAGATAGATATATAGATGGCATGCTCACAGAAACATTTCCATAAGCTTTGCTTGTGTCTCTCCTTCTCTCCATGCCTCTTTATAGCGCCCTCTCACCGCCAGGGCAGCGCTGGACTGAGATAAGTTGAGCTGAAGAATAGGGAGAGAGAGGGAGGACAGGACCTGCGAGCTAAAAGAAAGGGGAAATAGGGAGAGATTAACAGGAACCTAGCAATCAGTAGATAAGATATTGCTGATGTCCAATGAAGAGCTGTGTCTCATGCACACTAACAGACTGAGCAGCAACAGGTACACTGATTGGATAGGAGGCAAGAAACGGAGACATCGGTCTGGTCTGTATAAATAGAGCTAATTCCCTTCAACAGTACTGGCTTGCCTTTCAGTTCCTTGGCTGAAAGCACTGTGTGGTGAAATTTTATACAGTAAAAGTGTGCTGAGTAACAGAAGACGCAAACAGCACCGAGCAAAAGAACCCGCAGCAGAGCCTTTTAATGTACTCATTTGTTTACCTGTCTGCCGTCACCCTCCTGTGGACTGTCAGCACTCTGAGCACCGTTCTGCCATCCGTACTCCGATATCGTATCTGCAGCTGAGCCCACACTTTGCTGGCAGAGAGCAAAGCTGAAAGTATGGAAGACCATCCAGGAATAAGTCACAGAAAAATCGCAGTGATGCCCCATGAAAAGCACTAACGCTGAAGCAGGCTTAATGGACTTGTGGTGCTTTATTCACCCCTGTGGGTAAATTGACTTTTTGCCATCTTGCTCTGCATGAGATGCACACAGATAAGACCAAGTTTGGGGGTCACTCCAGAGTCTAAAGGCATTGTTCAAGCACCAGATGATGACATCAGTCTACCAGCCAGGGGTTTCAAACTCGCAACTGTTTGATCACAGGCATACAGTCCAAACCTGTTGAGCTACACACCAACCAAATTACAAGAGCACCTAAGACACCAGTGGCCTGTACTACGAAGCGGGGTTACTGGCTTATCGGGTTAACTTGTCGGATTTAAGGTAGTCTGAGCAAAATGTAAGTTAACGAATATGAAGTCCATTTAAACTGTGGTACCTTAAATCTATGTAAAAAATGTATATATCCAGCTATTAGAGGCTTCATGAAGGCATCTCCTCTGCATTTCCTTACTTGCCGTGTCTTGCTCCTTTGCTCCAAACTGGAAGGTGATCTCTGTGTCTGAAAACACATTCCCCACCTGCCTAATGACCTTATGACCAGCCTCCCTCTCTCCTCTCACAGACCTTACAATAGAAGAACAGAGTGAGACAGAGAGAGGATGACATTGCAGATCATAAAGCTCATGGAAATTTTACTTACACAAAAATGTCCTGAGGGTAGAATGAAAAATGATTGGTTCCGAGACAGAACCAGAGGAGGTGATTGTAGAGGAGGTGGGTCAAAGCAGCTAGAGGAGGTGGGACCAACCAGTCAGATGTCTTGGTCTCGCCTCCTCTAGTTGCTTGGACCCATTTCCTCTATAATTTGATTGGTGATCTCACTGAACCAATCATCTTTCATTTTGCCGTCAGAACATGAATATAAACCATGGTGCCCATTTACCCTGTAGGCCAGTGGTTCCCAAACTGGGGGGGCAGAGGCATTGCGGGGGGGGGCACACCAATGGAATACCCTCAGGGGCAAAATGATCTCTTCGCAGACTGGACGATTAAACAAATAAAGCAGCGCAACATTACAGTAACTAACAATATATAAACCACTACCTTACGTGTACTATTAGAGCATTTATGTAATTTATTTAAACTTTATTTTACCAGGTAAATTAACTCAAAACCAGTTCTCACTGCTTTACGTGATATTCGGGAGAAATAGCAGCCATTTGTATTTTGTAATTGCATTTGTTTCGCTCAATTAGAAAAGGGAGTTGTATTTCAGATAAAGTTTGAATCTGAACCTATGTTTTCTATCTAGAAAAGGGGGGCCCTGCAGAGAAAGTTTGGGAACCACTGGTGTAGGCCATTCTACACCTCTCTCCTAATCCTACCCCCTCCATGGACTTACTCATGTCAACTAAAAAAAAAAAAAAGTTTCACCCTGGTATCAATAATGTTTGATTTATCTTATTTACACTCATGCACATGTAAATCAGACAGTAGAAGGTATGTCTCAAATTTATATCATATTGTAGCTGTCTGATGAAAAGATGTAAAACAGTCATGCGTCACTTAATGTCGGGGATACATTCTGAGAAATGCATTGTTATCATCGTTGTGCGAACATCATAGAGTGTATTTACACAACCCAAGATGGGATAGCCTACTATTCAACTAGGCTGCAGTAAACTTTTTTGTATAAGCAGAAAGAGTACTCTCTAAAATAATGATAAAAAGTATAGTTAATATATAAACCAGTGATATAGTTGTGTATTACCATTATCAAGTATTATGCACTTATTGTAATACTTATTTAATATCTGCTATACTTTTACATGACTGACAGCAGTGGGTTTGTTTACACCAGCATCACCACAAACACGTAAGGCGCTATGCTACAATGTTACTAGGCGATAGGAATTTTTCAGCTCCATTATAATCTTGTGGGACCGCTGTCATGTATGAGGTCCATCACTGACCGAAACATCGTTATGCAGTGCATGACTGTACACCCATTCTCCTCTCTCTACTGATAGTTTGACATCTAATTGACCAAGGAAAATATATTTTATGCACTTATTGTAATACTTCTGGAGGCCATCTATTTCACTAATATTTATGATTCTACTAGTTAACATTTGTATTCATGATGGTCATTTGTATAGATTACTTTATATCGGTACTGTAATTTTAATTTAGCATTGATAGCTAGATAGCTAGCTAACTAAAATGATTAATTGTGAATATAAACAGATTAGTTTGTATCTTGTTGACACTGACATATTCGCCTCACTGACAACAATCCATGTAAGTCCATTTATAAACATGAACAGCTGTGTAAAGACAGCTTTCTATTTCTGGCTCTAAGGATGCCTCACTATGCCATTTTTGGTTCATTTTGTAAAGCAGCTCAGAGAAAATGCATTTTTTTTCGCACTCCTGAAATAACGAATATGCATTTTTCATCACACAGATGATATGTACAAGGCCTTGCTTTGAGAACTAGTGAATGTGTGTTGTGCTGTTTCATGACTAAGTTTTTGGTTTCTTACAGAGCAGTTGGGAGCAGCAAGGTCACAGTGCAGTGTGTGGCCACTGCTTTCCTCTCCATCACTGACTCGAATGCAGTGCAAAGGCCACTCAGACTAGCAATCGCGACCTGAGGATGCAGATATAGGTCGAGTCAAGTTAGTTTTGACCAATCTTGACATGAGAAGTTACAAACGTGTATGATTGACTTGGGGACAGAGGCTGGCGGACTTACATTTCCACCAGTCAAGTCAAAAAGTCTTCCCAGTTCATCTAACCGACAGTCTGTCCCCTCTATGGTCAGCACTGACACTGTGATCCTGACAGACATTATAATGTTGACAATTTGAACAAACTCCATCAACTGCAATTAAATAAATATCTGGTAACACTTTACTTGAGGGGGCAGAAATAACATAACTACTCAGTTACTACTCAACTACAAATCATGAACAAATATAGTAACTGTATGAAATACATGGTCAAGACTGATTAATGATGAACAAATATGGGTACAGTATGTAACTAAGGCTAATTTACTGGTTAATTAATGCATTTAGTAAGAGTGTACTACTACATTATTTGTGTCCCCTCAAGAAAAGTGTTATCAAATATGTTATGATAATTGCACCAATAATCTGTGAGTGGTAGCTACCCCTGATTAGCGGCAAACTCTCCTAAGTCCTGGTAGAAGATGGAGGAGGGCACAAGTGAGCGACAGTCTGTCTCAGGAACGTCGAGGTTCCCCAGCCAGGTGTTAGCCTTGCCATCTGTACAAATCACCACCTAGCCGAGAGTTACAGCCAGAAGACCTTGTCCTCTTCAGCTACGTAGTTCATCATATTTACATCCTCTGAACATTATGAGATTGATAAAACATTTGGAAGGTAACAGATAGAGACTAATAAATCTAGTTCTGTATTCTTACTGAAACACAGATAAAGTTACTGGGGTAGCAGGATAATACATGATTGATTAATACAATGGGATATGAACTGACCCTTGACCCTGGATGCCGGGACGCCATCGTAATGGCAGCAAGGGCTGCAGGACCAAGAGCCTTGTCTCCAGTATTCTCCAGGCTCAACGGCAACGAGGACAGCTGCAAAAGTGAATACAGACTGCAGACAAACAGAAATGAGAAGCTGTATTAGTCTCATATTCTCTTAAGATTTATGGGGTCACCCAATGTCCTACCAGTAATTTTACTGAAAAGTAATTAAGATGCTTTGACTAAAACAACCGTAGAGAGCCAAATAATTTTCTGGTGCATTTTAAAATAAGCACTTTACTTAAGGGTACATCACAGGCCACACCTTGAACTTCAGGCTGAAACTTTATTGTATATGTGCTGTTTAGACCATTCATTTATGGAGTAGTGCTGGTAAATTATGGTCAGACTTTGCATTGAACCCAACTACCTCCCCATCTTCCAAACACTTATCCAGTACAGCAATGCCAGAAACAACCCATGTGTCTTAGGTAAGTTTCAGCACTGGCTCCCCTTCAGAAGGTGGTTCCCTAGGTGGCTGCTTATGTCTCCTAGTGGGTTAAACCAAAACTGCAGTACAGTGTCATTATTTCCTAGGCCTTCCGACCAGGCGCCCATTGGCCAATGGCCCTTACAGGATGAATGACAGCTGAGTTGCCCATCATCTCATCTCCCTTTCCCCCCATACCTGTGCACCTCCCTCTCTAGCCACGCCCTGCTCTCTGCCAGGGGGGGTGGGTCTGGGAAGCTGGAGACCGCCTCCTTCAGGAGAGCGCAATCCATCAGCTGGGCGCCACAGAGGAACTGGGAGGCGGCCTTGCCATTTCCATGCAGGCATAGCTGGGCAGACATGGGGACATCCACATAGAATCACACGCGGGCACACACAGGGACATCCACATAGAATCACACGTGGGCACACACAGGGACATCCACATAGAATCACACGTGGGCACACAGGGACATCCACACGCAAACACATATGAGTGCTACTGTTAAACAAGCACGGGATGAGCTGTTAAGACCAAAGGGCTTGGTAGCATTTTGAGTGCAACTGACACTTCTGTGCCCAGAGACACAGATTGTGGTTCAATCTAACATTAAAAATGAGGTAAGACTGACACAATCTACCATATCAACAAACCATTTAAGGGACAGTGAATTCTGTAAAAGGAACCCATTACAGATCTTGTACATATTCTACTGGAGCAGAGATCTCTACTAGATATATGGAGGACATAGATATATTGGAGGACATTAGATACCTGTTTGTTGAATGTGATGAGTCCTACTCTGGTGTTTGGCTCTCTCTCACTTAGGGACTGTACACATTGCAGGACCGCCTGCTGCACACACTAGGAACACACATACAAACATCCCATCAGCAATATAACGCTGAGCATTAGGACCCTGAATGGGAACCCCTCTTTGCAGTGTGGAAGTTTGGCTGTGTCAGAGACCCAATGTTTACCATGTTAGCACACTCAGTCCCATAAAATTAAAGGCACAGATCAGCCTGCAGCCTGAAAGTCCAGCGATTTAACATGCTCTGTACTTTGATTGTAAATTAATATATTGATATTTAAATCCCGTTACAATGAACTAGAAAAATAAGAACAATACGCCCAAAATGAGTAAAAACTCACCTGCAGCCGTGATTTGTATGTTACCCGTCCATCTTCAGTAATCTGAAATAGAATGTAAAAATTGTTAATAGAATATAAATATAGTCGTTACAAACAACACACAGGCCTCAGATAGAGCTAAATAAAGGAATATGTTTGGGAGTAGTAAATAGCCTTTCTGTGACTTAAGCAAAGCATTTCTCCATTAGGTTGTGCCCAAAAGCCTGGCTGTTGTTACCTGTGTCCAGTCAAAACAAAAGTGTACAGGTTTGGTTTTGGTTGCTCCATTCCTGCATTGTTATTGCAGAACCTATTTTTATTGCAGGCACAAATCTCTGAAAAGTTATAGAACAAAGGGCTAAGCTTGCCAACATTAAGCAATCTGCTTAATTAGCTATAACACTGAAAACATTTGTAATTATTCTGTATTTTCTTGCATCCACCTTTGTGTTACGTGTTACAAAATCCAATACAATACAATCTTAGTGTTTTATAAGTACAGCCAGCACCTTTGTACTATGGTATTCTTCTATTCTATTTTATTCTATTATTCTTCTATTTTATCACCTGGTAGTTAACCTGCATTTCAATGTATTTCTTCTGAAAGAATCCTTCCAGGCATTTCATGTTCATCAATCATTTGCTAATCAGCGCTGGCACAAGTAATTTTATAATGGGGCTAATTAGAAGCTTTCATACCTTCTGAGCATATTGAGTGTAAGACAAACAAAAATATCTGTTCCATGATAATCAGTTTCTAGTAATATGCAATGAGCACGCCACCACCTGTAGAATTAACTTATTTATCTAATTCATCTTGACAGGCAATTTGCCCTAAGGGATTTCAGTTGGTTGAATAGCTTAAGGAGAAAGAAAGGACGGAACATCAGCATAAATTAATTAATAATTAAATAGAGCAATGTTTCCCAGCCCGGTCCTCGGGGGCCCCTAGACAGTCCACGGTTTTGCTCCCTTCCAGCCCCCCAGGAGGAAGGGTTAGGTTGAGAAACACTAGAACAGAGTACTTCTCTTAGAAAATGTACATACCAAAAAATTTTAAAGCACTTCATAAATGAAAAGGCATTTCCAGCATCCACTCAACGTTATTTTCCCAAAGATGCTGGCAGACATAAAACTGTAAGTCTTGAGCAAAATCAAAGATGCAAAATATTAATTTCAAAATCCTTTTTACATTTTGTCATCAAAGACCTTTGTTTATAGGTTTCAATAATACATTCTTTTTAAATAACTCCACAATGACAGGGCATTGTGAATTGTTTAGGTGCAACTGAAATTTGTTTGAAAAGAAAGTTAGCATTTGACGTGGAAAAAGACATTATTGAAGGAGACAGTCAAATAAATAAAAACTATTTAGCTACTAAATTCCATCAATCCAACCATCTTCCAACCATTCATGCTGGTACTAATAAATTACCCTTGCTTCTAAAAGTCACCATTACTTCACTGTCAGAAAAAAAGAGTACCAATTTGTACCTTTACTTGTCACTGAGGCTGTACCCTCAAGGCTCTGCCAATTGTACCCTTAGCTGTAGGTAAATGTACCTTTTAGTCTAATTTAAGGTACAGAAATGGACTCTGATGAACTTCCCTAAGGTATAAACAGCATTGACGTTCCTCAAATGGTACAAAAACGTTCCTGATAGTCCATTTCTGTATCTTAAAAGTGACATTTACCTACAGCTAAGGGTACAAATGGCAGACCCTTAGGGTACAGCCTCAGTGACAAGCAAAGGTACAAATTGGTACTCTTTTTTCCGACAATGTATAGCTGGTACTTACATACTTCTTCAAATAATAAAAGGATTTTTAAATCCTTTATACTAAGCCTCACATATAAAAAAAAATATTATGTGCCCTCACTTTCATATATTGGACATTTAAAATGTTCCTGCACTGTGTAACATCAGGATTAGAAGCCTTATAATTATAATTTATAATAATAAATAGAAACACATTTCTCTCATTATTTCAGAAGGAGTTCAGCATCTGTATTTTTGAAAGGTTAAACTGAAATGACATGCAGTGTATACATATCAGTGTGCTTGTATATCAATTAGCCTGCAGTGCATTGTGGGATACAACTTTCACAGCCCATAAATAAAAAATAGAGAGATATATGCAACATATGCTGCAACATACCTGCGACATAACAGTCATTGACCCTGAGATATCGATACAGAAAATAAGTAGTGGGTCAGTTGGAGGCTTAGGCTCTGGGGTCAGGGGAAATAGAAAATCTTGACATTCCGTTGTAGCACAATAACCTTGAGAAGATTTCCATGGCTGGCAGAAATAGCAGTTTTCCACCTAGATAAACATAAAGACAAAAGGCTTAAAAATGTAACTATTTCTTGCAGTTTCATTTATATTTTAATTTGCATTCCTGTAGCATTGGCAAAATGCTTATCTTGTCAGTGGCAGCAAGCAAAAAGCGTTCAAATAATGACTTAAGTAAATGATTTATTATCCATTGTGATTACTGTGACAGTTGCTTTGTGTTATTCTGCACTCATTCTCATTGTATCGGCGTGATACAATATAATGTATGCAAATTACCAGATTGTCATAAAGGGACTCCCTTGCTGACCCACACTGTGAGCAGGCTGTAGGCTCGCACTCTATTGTGTTCACTGTGATTGGACACACAAAGACAGTCACCTTCCTATTGGACACAGGCCATGCTGTTATAACAGTGATACATTACTGCTAACAAAAACCAGCAGAAAACATCAAAGGGGTTTAATGCAGGAACAAATGAGGATGCCAGAAGCCTGTTTCTGGAACAAGAACACGATGATCAGGACGATGCACTTCTCACCATTTTCTTCAGTCACTAATTTCCCCACTGCGACTAGAATCACATTTGGGTTCCCTGGCAAAAGTTGCTTGTCCAACAGAACTGCACAATTGATTATTAAAAAGATGGCTATTAGAATCACAGCCGGATGCATTGATAAGACATGAGTATGAGACAAAGAAATGACTGGCTGCCTCATTAACATAATGGGCGGTCCAAAGACCAGCAAACAGCAAACAGTGATAAAGAAAGTATCCTCTGCTTTTGCTCATTGCTAATTCTGCATATCTGACTGATAAAACAATGCTCTGTTTGGTGTCTGAAATACCATGTGTGTAACAATGAATGGGGCAGACTCACCTTCAGATAGACTGTTTGGGGAATGTGATGACGGCATAGGGTCAGATGGAGGAATGGAAGAGTGTTTATTACTGAGTGCCTCATATTCCGGAAGCCTATTCAAGAGGAACGAGCTCGAAGATTGTAGGGGCACAAGAGCTGCAATTATAGAGGAAAAAAATATGAACTTTCATTGAGACTGGTGAAAAAAATGATTAACATCATTGGAAAGAGTTAAATTACTTTGGGTGGGGATATAAAGGCAAGCAGATCGTACTCATAACTGTTTTGTTCGGGCGAATGGCTATCAGGACAGCATCAGATGTGAATGTCTTATAATAATCTACTTCATTATCAGTAGTTCAGTCTTTGTGATTATATCATTTTTTTCCAACTCTAGCTTTGTTAAAAAGACTTCCCTGCCTATTATGGCAATCTGAGTTTGTTGCTTTTCAAACATTCTGCTCACCCACTAACAATGGCAGTGATGCATTAAGTCAGGAACAATAAACTTCCGGCTTCACCAAAAAGCAGTTACCTGGCTTGTCTGATTGTTTGATCTTGGGAATATCCTGGGGATGTCTCCGTTCAGCCCTGGCGCCCCCTGGTGTCTGGTGAAAGGAGCCGCAGTCAGAGTCAACAGACTCTGACTCACTCTTATCTCCCTGCTTGCAGAGGCTATCCCCCTGTCTTTGCTCGTGAGGTAAAACGGATCTGGATTGTCCAAATAAAAAGTTGGGCGGAGAGAGGCGCCCTAGCTGGAATTTCATTGGTGGGCGGAGGAGTGCTGTAAGGAATGATATAGAAAGCATGAATATGTAGTTTGGTACTGTGGGATGAAGTCTCAGGAGCCCTGCAACAGTTATACGCTCACCTTTCTTTCGCTCTCCATGCAAAGGTTTTAATGGCAGGACTTGTGAAGTGGGCGTGTCTGTTTTCTCCCTCATTTGGCAGGTCGTGTCCCTGTGCACGTGCACACTGGTCCAGCACTCTGGACTGCCACTGGCATTTCTTGCTGAGCCCTCCAGATTTTTTTGAGGGGGAGGCAGGGGATGAGCGGGGGGAGTGGGCGAATGGGCCCGGGGTTTATATGGGGGTGGGAGAAGGGCTGCATGTGTCAGCAAGAGATATGGGGGGGCAGACCATGTACAAACAACATTAATTACACAACAGGCGCAGAATATCAAAGCTCAAATAATATGTAAAAGCAATGATACAGAGATTCATATGGAAATTGGATATTTATACAATCAAATCTCACGTGATCGTTTCAGAGGAGCTGGAGTTTGTTTCTGTGCTGATTTTAAATTGGCCGGTTGGGGAACGTAGACAAAACCACAGGCAAACTCCATTTCTTCAGGGACACTGTATTGATTGAAATAGTAAGAAAAGCCTGTTCAAATAAAGCTTTGTCCGTGATCTCCTGTGTAACCATCTTGTCTCTTGGCTGTCTGAATGTTATGTTTGTGGGCTGTTTTAAGGACCATAAATTTATTACCATCATCCTTGCTTAGCATACAAGATAACTCGCTGGAATCCTTTGGAAGGTCTGCTAATCCCATGGCTTTGTCATGTGCAATTTGGATACCGATGATATTTCCCTACGGACAATTTATAGACTTGGTAACTCTATTGGCACTTTTCCACTGCCACCAGGAACCAAGCTGTACCTGACCTATACCACAAACTGACAGTTTTCTACTACAAAATAGTACCTGACCTGTACCCGTGCTGACATGGCTCAGCCAGTAGCAGGGCCACACCTGTGACCAAACCAAACTGGTTGTGTCTCCACCATCCAATGCGGGGAGACACCAGTCTTCTGTGTCGATAAAAACTGATTATCAGAAGGAAAAAATGGCATATTCTATATATTATTAATTATTAGTAGCTTCACACATCGTGATGTATTATTTAATTCCCGATAACTCAGAAATTGAAAAGGTCCAGCCTCCTACATTAAAAAGTACTATGGAACAGCTGAAAGGAATGGACTTATAATGCAAATTTACACAAGCGTATCATAATTCCTCTAGCATTTGATGCTTACATAAAATGGCGATTCTCACAGACATGCTAGCGAAATTAGCACACAGCAAAATAATTATAATAATAACAATTACAGCATCTAGGAAATAATGTTGTATACCATGTGATGAGTAAACAATTGTCTCTTTGGTTTTACATCACTGTCACTCTCCAAACTCAGCAACGCTTTTACCGGGCTGACCTTTCTGCAATGGAAAACGAAAACGGGTTGGAACCGCGCTGTAACTGGTCACTTGTCACAGTATGGCTCGGGTTCGGCTCAGTTCCTGTATGCCAGTGGAAAAGCATCATATTACATCAGAATAAGGACCATTGTGTGTGTGTGTATGTGTGTGTGTACGTTTGCACCACATTTCAGGAATAGCAAGCCACTGCCGAATCAAAGGAAAGCCTAAATAGGGCACTGGGTGACAGTCACAATCAGGGGTCATCACCATAGTGGATTGGGACATGTATTTTGATCAAGATGCATTTTTTAGCATGAACATAGGTCTACATCAGTGTTTCTAATAGTTTGGATGCAAAAATGCTGGGAGGTAGCAAAAATGCGGACTATCTGTGGGTCTCCGAGGACTGGCTTGGGAAACACTGGTCTACATAGTTTTTCTCAGACAAAACATTTTGCCACTTACACATTTGTCCATATACAGACATGTTGATGATCCCTGATTACAACTGTTGTTTGTCTATGGGTACTAGGCTATAAATGTAAAAGTGATGTACAAGTATAGTTAAAAAATAATATTATTACAACCCTGAGTGATTTTAGGTTGAGCTAGCACCAAACTGGCAAATAATGTCAACTTCCTTTCCAAACAAACACAGGAGAAAATGATACGAAACAAAAATGGCACTCACCCCTACCATATGGTACTAAAGGAGACACAAAGGTAAGAAGGCAGAACTGCTTCTGTGATCCTTGGCATTGGAGGGGTGCAACACGATTCCTTCACCAGAAGCTCACCAGTAAAAATTGGTGTTCATAGAAAATGTTAGCTCAAGTGTATCTTGCTCAACTAGTTTGACAACCGATGACTGGAACAGTCATTTATATTCTCATCAGGCCATTGGTGACTAAGTCTGGCCAGCAGATGCGGATGTTGACATTCTGGAAGATTCCACAACCATCAAGAGAGAAATGCTTTGCCACGGAATGAATGTGGTCACACAGAATGCCTTTGTATGTATTAGCATTTAACCTGCCCTCTGCGTTGAGGTTGAGTGGGTTTAAATCATGTTCAGGAAATACAACCTTGCAGTCAGATGACGTAGACTTGTTTGTCTGTTTTGCTTTGGATCTCAGCTTCAGATAAGGGTGTCACACTTGGAGTGTGTTTGCGTCTTTCCACAGTTGTTTGCAGCTGATAATGTCTGTTCCTCATATCTCTGTGTTAAACTCACCTTACCCACTGTTCCTAAAAAAAATGCCAGCAGGTTCGGCAATATTCTCAATGCAGATGTGCACTAACAATCACCCCTCTCTCAAAGTCACAGAGGTCACTTCCTCCAGCAGTAACAACCAAAAAAATGGGGTGTACATGACCCTAAGCTAAGGGGTGCATGGAAGCGTCTGTTCCACTTTACATTTCTCATTTGCTAAAGCACATGCAGTTTGGAAGCAGAGGGCTTGGAACCTAATTCATTGAGCACAGAGGACATGGGATACCAATCCACCCTAGAACATTTATATTCAGCACGTTCCACATGCCACGGTATCAATATTTGCATTTTATTTATCTATCAGACACTGTAATCTGAAGCAACATACAATTGAGAAAGCAGTAGCAGCCAGTCCATGAACCGATTGGGGTCTTGCTCAATGGATTTGAACCAGCAACCTTCCAATCACAGACAGAATCCTAACCGACAGAGCCACACACCACCCCTGAAAAATGCATCTGTAAAGATAGCTGATTCTCTTTATATATATGCAGCACAGGAAATAAAAAAATAACAGAAGACAACATATATCTGAATTATACATATTGAATGAATCGGTTTATTAGACTGCTAAACCATTTGCATGATCAATGAGATGCATGATAGTGTCTTTTGTTTGATTGTTTGACATACAGTAAAAGTAACATTACTATCAGTTTTTGTATTTTTGAGTTCAAAACAGCCTGCTGCTGCTACTTATGCAGCTCCTGATCTTCAGGACCGGCTGGTTTTGCTGGTTTTTCCTCATAGATGCTTTCCATTAGCACAGCAGTCGTCATACTTCGGCACTTATGAATGGACATAGCGAGAGCAGGATCTGCTGTGACAGACAGCGATCTCAAAAACAGCCCATCATGGGATATAAAAGGTGTCTCCAGGCCCTCTTAAGCGTGGCACAGGTAGGAGACCACAGCCCCATTAGTCAAGAAACTTACATTTCTAAATTCTAAACATCAACTACTTTTTGCTTGATTAATCCCTCCATCAAAACATCCCAGCTGCACCAATCTTCTCATGTTACAAGCACCACACACAACACACGAGTGTCCATGTTACGCTACCCACCGGGTCGGCGCACCGTTGCTTGTTAATGGACACGGATTCATGAAAGCACTCACCATAAAAGCATGATTATTAATCAACAGCTGATGTGTGTACGGGGGATGGTGTGGTAGAACAATGGCATACTACATCACACATTACATATACAAGCACACGATGCATATGTATACAAAAAAAGACTGATAGACTCTCCACAGAGCACCAGACAGACACGTCGCAGCTATTAAATGAAGCACAGTGTCAACAATTGTTGACAAGCTCTAAACATAACTGCCAAAGAATTGTTCATCTTGGAAATGTTTTTTCGCAAGAGTACGGAACACAATGTATTACACTGACACACAATCTAGCGGGGGTCCACTAAGGAACTTACCAGCACCTGTTTTCAGCTTGAGGATGTACCATGCGTATGAGACCAGCAAGAGAAAGGAATCATGTGGAGAAGGAGGGGAGAGAGAGCAGCATGACAAGGGCCAGGAGAGCAGGGGGATTGGTGAGTGTGTCTGACTCACTCCTTCATTTAGTGTTTTTTTGTGTGTGATGCAATTACAGCCACACATCATACACAGGTTACTCCACCAATCACAGGTTACTCCGTCACACACAGCTTACTGTTACTCCGTCACCCACAGGTTACTCCACCAACACAGCTTAATCTGTCACATACGGGTTACTGTTACTCTGTCACTCACAGGTTACTCCACCAATTACAGGTTAATCTGTCACACACGGGTCACTGTTACTCCATCACCCACAGGTTACTCTACCAATCACAGGTTAATCTGTCACACATGGGTCACTGTTACT